CGAGTTGTGAACCATGCATATACGAATCAATTCGTATATCGAAACTCCTGGAAGTTATTGACATCAGCCGTTTAAAAGTTTAGGATTTTGAACCGTGCACATATAAAAAAAGTCGTACATCGAAACTCCATGGAGTTGATGATATGAGCCATTTAAGCGTTCAGAATTTTGAACGATACAGATATGAAAAGTTTCATCTATCGAAACTCGTGAAAGTTATGGATATCAAGTGTTTAAACGGCTAGAATTTTGAACTATGAGAGTTTGAAAGAACTCATATCTAAAAGTTCCTCGAAATCGATGAAACTAGCTGTCTAAACGGTTACAATCTGCTGTTAAAAATATGTCTGAATATATGCTGCGTCACTATGTTGAAATATTAAAGCACCCATTGTTTAGACGCTTGAATGTTCGGAATGGTTAATCTAACAACATGTATGACGTGGACAACATCCAGTTCGCCTAACTTTGAAGCGTGAACATGATTAGTAATTATTGCAGAAACTCAAATGGCATAAGTGTTGTGAAAAACGTGCAAAAAAATCAACTTTTTGATGCGTAAAATGTGCTTTAGGGACCATTTAGCGTTTACACGCCTATAGGCGAGTGTGTGAAAACGGGTACATTTGTTGCAAAGAATGAACAGAGATATGCGACATAATTGGACTTTTCTATTGCGTTCACATCTATTTTGTATATAAATACAATGCAACTTCATTTTTCTGTACACACAAACAAGTTGTTAACGTACAGGTGGATTGCGATACGTTGAAAAACCATGAACTAACAACATGTTGCTTTATTCATTGGTATTACAATGATGGCAGGTGAAGTCTATGGAGGTGATTAGGAAGTTACAATAGCTTCATCTCACTCGGTGTTTGATAAAACATATGATGTAGCAGTGGAAGTGCATACAGCAACATTGGTAATGAAACGATATCGATTTATAACTTGTGTTTACCATGCAATGAATTAAACGATTTATTATTCAAAGTAACCTGTAATAATATTTCTGTTGATTATCTTGGCCCACCAATAAAACGACGTGAAGCAAACCTTGAGGATATGACCCATCTACAACATGGCAAAACAAAAGCCATTCAAGCTCGATTATCATCAGCATACGATATGACTAAGACTGGCTTTTATTCAATAGAGTATAATATATTATCTGAGCGTAAAAGAGTAGTCACTCTTTCTTATAGTTTTTGTTCGAAAGCCCAGAAATCTCAGATCATCACTCTGCAATCTCTTCGACTCTTAGCTATGCCAACAATTCTTTCAATTACTTGAATAAGACAAAACTCTTAGATATTAGAAAGGAGTTATACATGTTTTATATGATATACTTTTTCTTCCTTTTATCTTTCGATGTTTGAATTTTTCATTCAGAAAAACAAAATGATATGCTTCGTTCGGGAATCGAACCCAAGACATGATAGCTGGTTAACCGGACCAGTGCTCTTACCATTGAGCTAACGAAACACGACTAACATATCATTTTTGTTTTTCTGAATGAAAATTCAAANACACCCACACCCACGCCCGCACCCACACCCACACCCACACCCACACCCACACCCACACCCACACCCACACCCACACCCACACCCACACCCACACCCACACCCACACCCACACCCTTCTTACGTTGTTCTCTCCTTGGCCTCATCTTCTATCTTTTCATTATCGCTTGTTCTACTCATGTATATAAACGTGTGCTTTATCTGTAAACGAGGCGATTGTATGATATGAAGGAATGAAAGAAAGTATATCTCCATATACACTATCTTCCCGTCTATCATCATTTTTCGTCACAAAAAGCTGTAAGAATAAACGCTATTGACTTCTTTCGATGGTTTCTTCCATACACAAAATGAAAAGAAAATGCATAATAGTGCTACTTCCCACCGTATGTAACATAATAAAAATGTTTGGAAGACTGTTATATTCTGCATGTATCTCGGCTTAAGAACATGATAATATCTTGATTATTTTTTCAAAAGATGCGCTGTTGAAAGCTCTATAAAAGTCATATAAACAAATTCCTATTGCACAAGAAAACGCGTTCCAAACATTTTTATTATCATTTTGTAGTTTTTTATGTCATGTTTTTCTTAGTACTGAAGTTTGTTTTTCTTATTGTATTTCATATTCAAGAGTTTTTCGAATTGAACAGGTGTATATATATAGTACTCGATCTCTGCTATCCAAACATATAATTGTATTAAATTAATCTTGTGCCGTTTTAATTCACGACTCAAAACAAAAAAGTGGTATAAGACTTTTGACCCGCACTGTATATATCTTAATACCATTATTATTAACATTGGAATAAAATTGACTATTTTTTTTCAATATGATTGTCTATTGTTGTATATCTTATCTTTTGTTTATATTTGTTATTTTGTCATTTTGTTTTTATGAGCAATGATGAAAAGATGATTTGATAATAAAACATGAACAAGCATAACTTATACTAAGAAAAGCAAAGTACTGAAATATAATTTTCGATTTTGCATATCCTTTTAAGTCGGTAAATTTACCAAGGAACAACAGACACTATCATGCAAAACTGCATCGTACTCTCGAGATCTTATTCACAAAATCAAAATGTTCCATGACTCGCAAACATCAGGAATATCTTTTCTCGAAGCTCACTCCAAGTTTTAATTATACTTGGTCAAGAATTGAAATCCTTCAAACTATATTTCTAAATACTTTTCTCAGGACCCAATGAGAAAACTTAAATCCTAATCTGTCTGAATCTATGCTGTGAAGAGTAGAATTTGACCTCATCGCTTCTCCACGTGTTTTCCAGTATCTGGGACAATTTTAACGTAGTCAGTTATAGGGTATGCCGTTCGGTTTGCCGGAATTTCACCGGTTCAAGAGCATTCTGTAACCGGACCGGACCAGTTTTTCGATTTCTTACCGGTTCCAGCTCTGATTGTAAATAAATCATATTTATTGATCTTTAAATTGATTTACAAACCAAATTAATAAATAACTGACCGTTTTAGTAATTTACTGATCAATCATTTACGTTACTGATTTTATAATTATTTCATTTGTTGACCATGTCATTTATTTTACTGACCACAAATCATATTCCCACTATGAATATGTTATCTGATTATTTTTTAGTTATCAACTTAAAAAATAATTTGAGTTTGAAGAAAATTTCAAAAATTCAAACTTTTTGTCGATTTCTTCAATGTACAATCGGTTGAAAAAACTATATTTCATGAATATCGCACATTATTACATTTATATTTAAAAGTTTCTCTTACAACAGATACGGCTGAAAGATCTTTCAGTGTTATGAATAGAATAAAGACATATTTAAGATCTAGAATGGTATTACAACGCTTCAATCATGTCGTTATTCCTCATATTCACAAAGAAAAATTAGATCAATTGGACTTGAACAGCATCTCCTTTCATTTTATTTCAAAAAATCAGAATTAAAAAGCTTGTTTTACTCATGAATAGTAGTTTTTTTTTTACAATTCTTTTTATTTGCTTCAGCTAATGTTTAAGCTTTTTATGCTTGTGTTGATCACTTTTTTAATATTTTCATAATACAGTAGAATTTTTCATCAGTTTATAGGCTTGGATATGGGCGAATGCATAAATATCTCTTTAATGAAAGTTGTGATCACGAAACTAAAAAATTCCTTTCCACTTTTCAATATTGTCCTTACATCATTGTTTGAAAAACAAATTTGAGCCTCCCATAAATTAGAACCGTTCTACCGTCGAGGCTAAGATTCTCGTATTGATCGACACACTATTGCTAGTGAAGCCATAATATTTCATGTATTGTGTACAATGGGTAAAGAAGAGCCAAATGCAACCATTGTATTGTGCACATGTTTACGAATATTTTTCTTTTGTTTTCCTTTGTTATTCACTGATCCCCATCTTGTTGCTTTTTCCAGTAGATGTATTGAGAAAAGAAAAATACTATCAACACAAAAAAGAAAAAAGAGAGTGAGAAAGAGAATAAATTGCACATAATTGAGATTGAAATAAGAGTGAGGGGCACATATTTGCGAATATTCGATTTATTCTTTATCATTCTCTAATAAGCAGCTTAGACAATACATGACAGAACAAGCAAAACGATTATAAGTTTCCTGTGAAAACAAAATATCGAAGAACAATCTCTTCATATTATTTGACGTATATGGATGAATGCACAAAAACAAATCATACTTCGTGATGTATATATAATCAACAGAATGCTTTTATTTTATACGTAAAACAACGTTGGTAGATTACATTATTATTCTGGTTGTGTATACAGAAGGTGTTGGACGAATACAGCGAATAAATGTATGTATTTTGAAAATGCTTTCTCTTCAGAAGATTTTTTAAGGTATTAGTATCGAGCGACTTTTTATTTTGTCAAGGATTACCACTAACTCTGTTTAGTGTTATATTTGTATGATCGTCATGTTTTTCTTGGTGATGAAAATAGTTTGAGATTTGTTAAGAAATGAATAGTAGAGACTATCTACTGTAAAGCCACTATTCTCACAAAACGTCTATAGAAAGGCGTGTCAATCTAGTTTTTGAGTTTCAACATAGAAATACAATCATTCGATATTGTATTCTTCTCAAGTACTTTGTAACTTGCTCGGATTTCGCTAAGTACTTGAATAAATATCGACATTGTATAATTCTCAAAGCAGCTGTACTTTCTCTGCAAATAAGTTAGCTGTAATACTTCCCAAGTACTTGAAGAATAGCACTTTTTAAACATTCCAACAAGAGTTTGTTTCTTACTTGAGTGCTTGCCCAAAATGACACGTATTGTGGACATTATCTGTGAAAGCACTTGCTCATGTACTCGACACAAATCCATCATCTAGTGCTCCAACAGTCAATTAAATCTGTTTGTATTCAAAATGATGTTTTAGATTCTACTTGTTTCATTTAGATAGAAGAAAAAAATGTTGCGACTAGTATTCATGTTCTTGCTTCTACCAATGGTAAGTAGCCGTGGCAACAACCACAAAGAATGTAGAGCCTTGATCGGTGAAATGTATCAAATACACATAAACATTATCACTTTTTACACCCATGAAGTTTTGACGCTTCATGAAGACGGCACAGTGGACATAATTGACAGTACACAAAATGGTGTTGATCCAACGGGTAAAGTCGTATATCCGCCATTTACTCACTTGATTGGAGTATGGAGATGTGTTGGGAAAAATAAAGTTGAGCTTCGCTTTGGTGCTTATAATCTTAAGGTACCTGATAGTAAGGCTCCAGGTTCACTCGGTATTAATTTTATGGGGTTGACTTTTACGGATGATGGTGAAAAGTTGACGGGAACAACCAAATACTCAAACTATGAGCTCGGTATTAATCCAACTAAACCCGGTGCGAAACCGCTTCCTGGAGAAACCTACGGGCCATACACAATCAGTGGTGATCGATTGGATTTCTATAAACAATAGTTTCACGAAATGAGATCGTCGACAGCTGAAAAACAAACTTTAAAACATTGCCACTTTTCTTCTTTCTTCTTCTGCTCATTTTATCTTCATAAATAAATTAATAAATAAATAAATCCATTCAACTATTCTCACTAGTAGGGGTGTTACTTTATTTTTATGTTTCGTTATAATAAAGAATAAAGTAAAGAGAATCTTTATTTTAAAAAATAAAGATAAAGAAATAAAGATAAAGTAAATCTTTATATTTATAAAATAAAGATAAAGATAATCTTTATTTGTAAAAATAAAGTTAAAATAAAGAATAAAGAATGACTTCTGTAAATTACAACAAAAGAAATAAATCGCTGTTATTAACAACACACGATGTCAATTAAAAAATATTTTGTACTGTAGGAATATTTTTTGTCTAAAATAAGCCGTAACACATAGTCAGTAAAGTGCCAGAAAAAAGGTTATAATCGTATTCATAGTTTTAGAATGGGTGAATGATTAATGGAATTATTATTTGCTATCGATGTGATTCTTCTGAGACTGACCCTTATACTAATATCCGTTTGTGATGTTCTTTAAGACTTTTAAAATACGTATCATATACTGTTGCTTAGGGTGTGGATGTGGGTCCTGTATGCATTCACACCACAATCACCTTCACACTCACACCCCAACCCCCACCCCCACCTACACCCACCCCACCCACACTCAGTGAACAAATGGAACATTTGCCTCTATCAGTGCCATTGACAGGTGTAAAATATTCAATCGGTTGCTTTTGTAAGTTTTTCTTATTATTGAAATCTTCAACAATAATAGTATCACCACTAGCATTTGATATATTAAGAGAATTTTGTTCTTCATCTTCATGATTTTCGGATGAACTTGAATTATGAATATCGTTAGTATTTGAACATTCCATTTCCATTTGTAAATCAACATCATTTTCTTTTTTTCTTCTTCTTAATTGTGGTGTTCCTTTAGATGATTTTTTTGAACTATGAGAAACATCTTTTTTTGAAATTCCACCTTGAACACTAGACCGACGTCGTAGACTTTAAGTTTTCTTTAAATTAATTCGAGATGAACTTCTTCGACCTGATATTAGCATATCATGATTATCAGATGATGATGATGACAATTGATCATTAGTGGTATTATGATTCATTCTTTTTTTTTTAATATAGCTAGTATGTTCGTTGAAATGTGTTTAAGTTGTATTTTAGCTCGTTTACAAATATTTATATGTATTCGATATCACCCTCGAAAGTAGACACAACGGTTTTTCGGAATGTTTTGTCCTTTCATTAACGGACGCCTGCCAATTACAATCATTAAGTGTATACATTAAGTTTTGATCTGTCTGTCTCTCCTTCTTTCCCTCCTCTCTCTTGTTCTCTTTCCTCACTTATCTAAAATGTACTTAAAGCACTCGGAAAAAATGATTTCATACTATGGTATGGTATCAGACCCCCAATGACTCATGTTTTTAATAGCAGATTTGAAAGTTACTAATGCATTTTAAGTATTTTTATACGCCTATGAAATTTATTGGATGAATTTTGTGGAACTCACATATGTTTTCGAAGAAAATAGTGAGTAAAATAGTGAGTGTAAGTTTTAAGTTCGAGTTTTTGCGGCTCCCCCCTCCCTCTCCCCTCCCCCCCCCCTTACAGACAGGCTACCATTACAAACCATAGCAACTCCAGAAAAAAAAAATTTTTTCTAATGCAATAGTAGCAAAAAAATCAGTGTAAAAAATGAGAAGAAATTTTGACTACTCTGGCATAAGCCAGAGTATTGTGCAAAAGTTGAAATTAATAGCATTCGTATACTAGTATTCCTGTAAGTTCAGTTTTGGATTTTTCTCCACATAAAAATGTATTTAAGACATCAA